ATTCTCAGCAGCAACAGCAGTAAAATAAATGCAGGCGAAATACTTATATTTCCAGTATAAACAGCCTCAGGCATGTGCCTGAGATGGAGCAGTTGGATGTATATCTGCTCCTGTTGCTTATCAAAGAGAAACAGGAAGAGAGAAAGGAATAGTCCATATGTCCCCCCCCCCTCAGGAAAGGAGACGAAATGACACCACACAGAGCCCTCTCAACAAATTACATTTCTGTTATCTGTGTCTGTCTATTGGCAGTACAGCTCTGTGGTCTTTAACCCCTTCTCATGCTAACTAGTAAGAATATCCATTGCTAGATTGGGCTGCTAATCTCCCACACTTCGTTCAAGTTCCATCCAGCTGAATAGGGCTTGTCTTTAGATACCTAAATCCTGTCCAAGTCCCATTTATTTCAATGGAGTCTTTTCAAATAGAACATCAAATGTGAAATGCAAGAAAGAAAAGATGCATTTTAAATGTTTCCTTAAAATTGAGATGAAGGGACCAGGAATGAAAAAGCATGAGTCAATAGCAAAAGGGAACTGAGGTTTTAATCAGTTTGGTGCTTGATGAATGGATAGCAATGGAGAACAGACTTACAGTGCAGTCCTGTTTATGTCTACATAGAAGTAAGCCCTATTAAAGTCAGTGGGACTTAGTGAGGGTCTTTTATGGAACCATTAAATAAAAGGGATGAATTTTAGAAAGCTATAGAGCAGTACAGTGGTACCCCGGGTTAAGAACTTAATTCATTCTGGAGGCCTGTTCTTAACTTGAAACTGTTCATAACCACTTTAGCTAATGGGGCCTCCCGCTGCCGCCGCGCAGCCGGAGCACGATTTCTGTTCTCATCCTGAAGCAAAGTTCTTAATCCGAGGTACTATTTCTGGGTTAGCGGAGTCTGTAACCTGAAGCGTCTGTAACCCGAGGTACCACTGTAATGTGGGCCCCCAAAGAGAGAAAGAAGGCTAAAGACAAGAGCTTCCTGTGACACCTGAAGGGGTGATCTTGCCGTTGAAAGAAGGTGAAGCAAAACGGAAGGTTTGCAATGAATGCTTTTCTTCGGCATGTTCAGCTCTTCGCGTTTCCTAAAAAGCACTTGGCTGGCTGCCGGCAAGTTGCCAGTACGCAGTACGCGGTTCACTTGTTTGCATTCGTGCCAAAGGTCTTCATTGGGAGAGACCCATGTCTCTTCCTGCACAGAGGCATAAAAGAGAGAGCATGGAGAAAGCTCCAAGTTACAAGATGGCTTCAGGCTACAAGAGGGGCAGTTCGAGGGTAGCTCCGTCCTTGGCCGGCGGGGAGCAAGGCGGCAGCACGAGAGACGCGGCCGCCCTTCCTTGCCCAGGAGTCCTTACGCCGCGGGTTTCCTGGAAATCAGATTCCCTGCGGTTGACTCGTAAATCAACGCGCAGCGGCCGCTCGACGCGCTCCCGAATCCAGCGGCGAATCTCGGACGCGCAGTTTGCCTCCTTGGCAGCCGCTCTTCCGCCCATTGCCGAGCGCTCAAGAGATGCCGCCCGCAGGTTTCCTGGGAGGCGCAGCGGGCGTCGGGGGCCGCTGGCAACCGCGCGTTTAAGGGGCTTCTTTCTGGGCAGCTGCTGCTTCTCGCCTTCTGCCAGATGCCCGCCAGGGAGGCTGCCCCAAGAAGGACGTTTTGTTCGGAGGCGTGAAGTGGAATTGGAAAGCTTGCTTTTGACATGCGAGGAGCTCCCAGGAGTTGTCGGTGAAGCGGAGGAAATTGGTGCGGGAGGCGACGACCCTCTTTTCAGCTCAGCGCCGAGGATAGGGGTGGCTGCCGTGACGTCATAGGCACATCAGCCAATGCGGGACTGGAACTGCAAGCGAGTTTACAAGAAGGAAGACTAGCAGCGGCGGTTACTTGGAGTCCTGCCCGGACCAGGCACCTGCAGAACCCTGCAGCCCAGCACGCTGACCACTGTGGGAGAGGCGCAGAAGCCCTGCCGGGAGGAAGCCGGTGGATATTTTTGGTACCCCGTTGACGTCGCCTACACTCTCGGCGACTGACCGGCCTCTTCGCAGCTAAGTTCTTGGAAGTGGATTTGGCTTAAAGATAAAGCGTGGATGTCACAAACGGATCTGGAAATGCCTATACCACGCAGATACGCTCATCGGGGCGGACAGCCAGGACTGGTGGCCAGCTCCCGTTGTTGTGCGTGAAACAGCCTAGGCGAAGAAGATGCTTCTTACTATGCAGGACGTGTGTGTGTGTGTGTGTGTGTGTGTGTGTAAAGGAAGTTTCACCACTCAAAGCTACCCAAGAGATGGCAGGCAAATGCTCAAAGCGGCAACTGTGAAATATTCTTCCAGAATAGTTCTATGGGCTTAGATGACTTACGGTTAGGACTGAAACTCTGAGCCTCTCAGAGCTCATCTTCAATCTCGTCCAAAGGAGATCTTGTTTGCACCCTTCCATGAAGGCAAAGGCTGCGCACACCCTATATTGTATATTTAAAGCACACATCCTCTCGCGTCCCGCTTACCCACGCACCAAGAATCCTATATCCATGTGCATCCTTTGAATGCATGGTGCCTGCACAGCCAAACGGTCAATTGCAGAAGCGCCTTCAGTTGGAGTCTGGGCGCTGGGCGAACGGGTCCATCCGGGCTGGGCATTAGCTGAGCTGCGATACGTCCTCTTTGTCCTGTTTCTTTTTGAGCATCGCCAGCCTTGGAGCGTCGGAGAAGAAGACGTGGTTCAACAGTCGGAGCCCCGAGTTTTCGCACGCAGCTTTAATATGCAGCCGTATTTTAATAAGGACTACCAGATTTAAGCAATCACAAGTAATGAGGAGACGTTTAATGGCCCCCAAAGGCGCTCCGTTTTAAGCAGAGCAGCAGATTAAAACCAAGTGTGTCCTACACCCACCAAAGATGATGACCAAGCCGTTAAGACAGGGGCTCTCAAAGGGTGTGGCTGTGCCACACCGGTGTGGGGCAGGAGAAGATGGCAAGAGTGGCGGGAAGATTCAAGGACAATCAAAGAATTTTTTTATTATTTGCAGAATATGGATAGATACCCTTTCAAAATGAGAGCAAGAGCATCCAGTGATACTGATGACAATCCTAGTTGTGATCCAGAATCGCCTTTCGATCGGGTGCTGGAGAAGACCCTTTTGGGGTTGATTCATGTTCTTATGTAGCTGCATTGTTTTATACTTTCTGGATCATATTATTAAGTAGCTGTGTTCTGTGTTACAAATCAATCATTGCTAAGAGTTGTTTCTTTTTGTTTTCCAATGTATTTCTTTGCAATATATTAGCAAATTTGGCGTGGCGCGAGCAAATTTTTATCTTGAAAGCGAGGACTAGAGGAAAAGGATTGAGAGCCAGGCGTTAAGGTGCCACAAGTCTCCGTTATGTTTACAAGCACACCTTGCAAGCTGCAACAATTGCCTCATCCTGATCCAAGAGTCGTCCTGAAGATTTTCCCGCTGGAACTCAAGAGAGGCCTCCCTGGGGCATAACACAAAACCCACCCGGGAACACGAGGGCATGTCAGCCAGGTGGCGAGGCAAATGTCAGTAAAGCAAATACGAACAAAAACTCCTACTCTCTGGGGCGGAGCAGCCTCGGGATTTGCCAGGTGGCAAGAAACCCAAGACTTCTGCTTCTTCCAGCTTTCCTCTGCTTCTGCCCTGCCTCCAGTAACCTATTCCCCGCATATAAATTCATTATCCCGTCAAAGGAATTTATAGTGTAACCCTATTTACGTCCACGCAGAAGTAGGCCCCATAGACTTCAGTGGGGCTTACTCCCAAGTGAGTGTGCTTTTGTACGGGATTGCAGCCTACGGCACAGAGGTGCCCCGGACTTAGAAGGCGCTCACAGCAACAAGAGACTCTCAAGCTGCCGGTGCTTAAGGGCTAGAGAGCCATTCTCTTCTAAAGCCTCAACAAGTAAGCTCCATTGTTATTCGTGGGGCCAGGAAAATGGGTCTAGGATTCTCAGTCGTCGTCCCACCACCAGCGCCCCAGATTCGGAGCTAGCTCAGTCTTTACAAACACTCCCATCCTTAAAAGCTCCCGGAACCCCAAGGTCCATTCGGTGCTATTGAGACGTCTGAAGAGTAGGTGGGGAGCTAGCGTGGCCTTGGGTGCTATTCTGGCACCAACCGAAGTCAGCCTTATGGAGGTCACTCAGGACATTGGGTACAGATCACCCGGCAAGCCCCTGGTGGCAAAGCCCCAAAGAGACGTGTTGGTGTGTTTGTGTGCGCGCATCACTGGGCGTGGAGGAAAGGGAAGAAGCAAAGGCACACGAGGCGAACGGCCTCCCCCCCATGTTTCTCGTCACGTTTCTGGAGAGATGCGGCTCCCGCCTCCCTCCCTGCTTCGATCCGTGCCGATCGCGCCCCGCTTTCCAGGTAGGCGCCGCCTCTCTCGGCAGCGAGGCTGGGCGTTTTCCATCGCGGGCGGAGCCGCGGCGCGCGTGGCGAGAACGGGAGCTTTTCTCCCCCTCCTTCGCCCAGGTCGCGGGGCGGGGAGCGCGGCCCCCCTCCCCTCCGGCGGCTGCTTCCCCGCAGCATCATCTGCGACGTTTCCGCGCTGACCTACTGATACAGTAGTCGGGGCAGGGCTGGGGAGGCTGCGGCGTGCGCGCGGGCCCCTAGGCGGCGCTGCGCTCCAGCGAGGCGCCCCCGCGCCTGCAATAGGAGCGCTTCTCCCCCTCGCCCCCCTCCATGAGCTCATCCCGAGCCAAAGGCAGCGGCTGCCTTCGCGCAGGGCTCGCTCTCGCTGGCTCAGCACAAGGGAAGCGGGCGGGCGGGCGAGCCATGACTTCGGCCGGCGCCTGGAAGAAGAAGAAGAAGAGCCGCGCCTGCTCTCCCCGCGCGTCCTAGCCAGCGGGTTTCTGGCTGCTGCTGCTGCTGCTGCTGCTCCGGTGCGCTCGGCTGCTGCTGCCGCAGCAAATTTGCTGAGAACGTGGGATTATGGTACTGTTGGCTCGGTCTGCAGGGAGCTGAGGGGGAAGCCAGGGATAGAAGAATGCGGGTCTATTTAATGGTGTGCTGCCTTATTTTCTACACCGTCAATGGACAAGTAGAGTACTCCATCCCCGAAGAAACGGAGCCCGGCACGCCTGTCGGGAACCTAGCGCAGGATCTGGGTATCGTGGCCGCGACGCTTCCCTCCCGGAAATTCCGCATGATCACCAGCTCCAGCAAGCAATATTTTAGCCTCGATGCAAGCACCGGAGCTTTGTCTGTCAAGGAGCCCATCGACCGGGAGCAGATCTGCGCGCTGAAACCTACCTGCTCTCTGAATTACGAACTGGTGCTAGAAAACCCCTTGGAGCTTTATAAAATGCAGTTTAAAATACTGGACGTGAACGACAATGCCCCCATCTTCCCGCTAGACGAGTACCATTTGAACGTGGCCGAGTTCCTGGCGCCGGGAGCTCGCTTTACCCTGCCCAACGCCCAGGACCCCGACGAAGGCATCAACGGCGTGCAGAGCTACACGCTCAGCCCCAACGAGCTTTTCCGACTGGAAATGCAAACGCGCGGGGACGGCAGCAGGTATCCGGAACTGGTGCTGGAGAAGCCCTTGGACCGCGAGCAGCAAGCCACGCACAGGCTTGTGGTCACAGCCAAAGATGGAGGGACGCCCCAGAGGTCCGGAGACGCCCAGGTCGTGGTCACCGTCCTTGACACCAATGACAACGCCCCCGCCTTCGAGCATTCCGTCTACAGGGCCAGCGTCTCTGAAAACTCCCCCAATGGCACCCTGGTCACTCAAGTGCACGCCACCGACTTAGATGAAGGTCAGAACGGGGAGGTCCGGTATGCCTTCAGCAACAGCACCCCTGCTGAGCTCCAGAAGATGTTCCACATCAACCCCCAGACCGGGGAGATAAGAGTAAGTGGGAGTTTAGGCGCCCGGAAGCCCCTCCTGGAGATGTTCATTGAAGCAAGAGATAAAGGGGTCTTTGGTATGTCCACTGTAGCCAAGCTGCTGGTGGAAATAATTGATGTGAAGAACAATGCTCCGGAGATCACTGTTACTTCTCTTTCTAGCCCCATCCCAGAGGATTCCTCTCTGGGCACAGTGATAGCGCTCCTGAGCATCACCGATGAAGATCCTGGAGAGAATGGGAAAGTCATTTGCCAGATCCCCACCAACATCCCCTTCCAACTCAAGTCCTCTTTTGATAGTTACTACAGTGTGGTCACCAGCGGCCTTCTAGATCGGGAACGGGTCAGCGAATACAACATTACTGTCACTGCCTCTGATCTGGGCTCCCCTCCCATTGCCACTCAGAAGACTCTGCGGGTGCACATTGCGGATGTGAACGACAATCCCCCTAAGTTCCTCAACCAGATGCGTGAAGTTTCCATAATGGAGAACAACAAGCCTGGGGTGTCCCTTTTTCATGTGTCGGCCTCTGATCCAGACCTGGGGGAGAATGGTCGGGTCTCCTACCTACTCAGGGACATTGACATCCAAGGCAGCTCCTTGACCAGCTATTTGGCCATTGATGCAGACAGTGGAATTGTCTATGCAAAGGGTATTTTTGACTTTGAGCAACTCCAGAGCTTCCATTTTCAAGTGGAGGCCAAGGACAATGGCTCTCCAGCCCTGGCTTCCGCCTTCATAGTCAGCATTACCATCCTTGACCAGAATGACAATGCCCCAATCATCTTGTACCCAGGGGTGAGGAATGGCTCAGTGGCGGTAGAAATTGTTCCCCGCTTGGCAGATGCTGACTACCTGGTGGCCAAGGTAGTGGCCCACGACCCAGACAGTGGGCAGAACGCCTGGCTTTCTTATCACCTCTTGCAGTCTTCCGACAGCAGTTTGTTTCGAGTTTCACCCAATGCTGGAGAGGTCAGGACTAGTCGCTCCATGAGGTCTAGTGACCCCATCAAGCACAAAGTTGTGGTCTTGGTAAAGGACAGTGGGGAGCCTCCCCTCTCCTCCTCCGTGACCTTGGGCATCCTGCTGGCTGACTCTCTCCCACAAGCGCTCCCGGACTTTGATGACAGCTTGGAAGCACGTGGGCAGCAGCTGTCCAGCTTGAACTTTTACTTGATCATTGGTCTAGCTTGCCTTTCCTTTGTCTTCCTTGGCTTTCTAATCTTCCTTCTTGCCATTCGGCTTTTTCACTGTAGGACTAGTCCCTCATGCAGCTGCTGCTGCTGCTGCCCCACAGATGAGTATGAAAAGTATCGCTACAATGTGCGCATGCTCCCAAGTTCTCATTTTACACCAGAGATGGTCGAGGTTGCAGGCATGGGGAAGCTTACGCACACCTATTTGTATAGGGCATCTCTGGGTGTTGGGCCTAGCAATAACAACTTGATGCCCAATGGAGATGCCGGAAACCTTTCCAAGGGGGCAGGATTATTACAAGTGCCAGCATCTTGCATTCAAGTGCAGAAGGTGAAGAGTGACCACTTTAATGCCATTCTGGTGGTAAGCAGGGTTTTCTTTTAATATAAAAAGTTATGTGTCTTTCTTGGGCATGTGTATCTGTGTTCGGGGTGGCAAAAATAACCCAAAGGTGTATCCACTTCTTCCATTTTGTTTTAAAGGAAGTCAATACATTTATAGATGCAACACTGAATTTGCGCCTAACCTCTTAGAAACTAAGGACAGAATAAAAGAACTAACAGCAAATAGAGTGTACCTGCCTCTCATCATTTTTTCTACCATGGATGCTAATGGACAGTAGATTCAAGATTGCAAAAAAAAAAAAAAAGGCGCCCAGCCAACCGTCCACTTCACATAATGCATAATGTGCATAATGCATAATTAATTTAAAGAATTTATTGCTACAATATGTGGTGAAAGTTTCTGCCTTAGATGGCTTTATTAGAAAGGGATAGACAAATACATGGAGGATGGCCCATCAACACTAACCTGCCTAGCCAGTGGTTAAAATCTGGACTAGATGGCTCCTTGCTGAGATTCAGCAGGGCTTTCTTATGTTCTCCAGTGAGATTTTTTATGGCCATCTAGTTAGCTGTTACTCAGCTGTGGGGAAATGGTAGTTAAAAATTTGGTTCAAAGGTTTGATCTTCACTGTCTGTGATGAAAATTACAAAATACTTGAATTCCTTGTATTGATTATAAATTGTGCCATGTTATCAATATGATTGTGTATGGTTAGCATTCTTTTTTTAAAAAAGTTGGAATATTTGCTTTCTTAAAATTTGCAAAGAGGTTAAAGAAATACAGAGCTCTGCAATATGAAAACAGCAGGATGCAGGTGGAATTTTGAATATTTTTGTTAGTGACGCTGCCAATATGCTTCATAAGTGCATCATGACCTATTGTAAAATTACTTCCAATTATGGCAAACTACAATCTTCTACAACAAAATTGTCCAAAAGGAACCTTGGGGTCCAACGGTGGAGCACAGTCCAGTTTCCAATGGACCAGTCATTGTAATGGACCAGTCATTGAACAACATTCATTGTTGTTCAAAAATCTCTGAACTATACCTGAAAGTAGTCCCCATAATTGCCAGAAGAATTAAGTTCATTTTGAATAATTCATTTTAAAACCAAAACTTTGAATGATTTCTAGTTCATCTTCACATTAATTCCCCCAAGCCCAGCCCAACAGGAGGGCCGGACTCTTACCTTTCTTTTTTTAAAAAAGAAGTATGTACTGTATTTTTCCATGTATAAGACTATATTTTTTCCTAATTTTTTGAAGTTTAAAATAAGGGGTCATCTTATGCACGGATAGTGCATAGTACATTTTCTTAATTTTGAGTCCCCCAAAATAGGGGGTGTCTTATACATGGGGGCGTTATACATGGGAAAATATGGTATATTGGATCTCTGTAAAGAAAGTTAGAAAGCAAACATGGAGGCAGTGTTCTAAAGCTTTTTAGGGAGATACAGAGGCACTGCTATTGCTAAGAATTCTTAGTCAACCCATGTTACTAAATGGGAATACGGAAGAAATGAATGTGAGGCATTTCCTAAGGCTTCCCTGCTGAAGAGATTTGCTGTCTTCCAGTAGGAGCAGCATGCAGAAAGAGGTACAGGGTCAAAGCAAATGATGCCTTGTGCCTTTAACAGTAGTTTGACAGGCAACAATTAAACAGGGTAAGCATTTTCTAATATGAAAATACAATTATAGGCAAAACTTCACCTGTCAGCCTTCTGTCTGTGAGACATCTTATTACTTGTGCATGGCTCCTAATTTAGTTTTGCACCCTATACAAGCAGAGGAGCTTGTAGCTTTCTGAATGCGCTCTGTGTGTGCACACATGCACGCTAAGGATGAACTTTTTATGAGCTTGGACTAACCCAGTTCATTTTGTAAAAGTATGAACTTGAAGTGGAACTAGTTCTTTTTTGGACAGGATGAACTTGAACTACAACCAGTTCCTTTTTAATATGAACCTTCCAAGCAACTGCCAATTTCTGGCAGGCCACTTTGTGCTTGGTGGTTGCAGTGATTCTCCCAAAGACTGCTGGTCTAGATCGATCTCAGTCTGATCCAGTCCGATCTTTACAGATATTAATTTATACCTTAACTATTAGCTCCTGGGTATATCCATTTGGCTGTGGAAATTTAATACACCTTGGTGGGCCACAGTCACTCTAGTATGAAAAGAAAGCCATATAGCCAACCCCATCTCTAGAAGGGGTTAAAAGGTCAAGTGCTTTTAATTTCCATTGATGTGAATAGGAGAGATTTAAGGATGCCTTAATTTCTTCACTGAAATGGATGGGAAGTGTATTTTGGCTGGAACTGGGCATAGTTAGCTTACCTGAGGGCAAAACTAGATGTGATGTAAACACACACCTGTTGCTCAAGAAAGTAGCCCCATGTTGAGTCCTCCCCTGTTGTAACATCTAGTTCATGCCCTGATGCCATAATGCTGACCATTCATTGCCTCACCTCTGCTGCCCAGCAAGGACTCTGCTGGCCAAGGCCAAGAAATGCCAGGGCAGAAACTGAATTGAACATCATATTATGAATGGGGTGTGGGAGATTTTGACACAGGGCTGCTTTTTTGGCCGCAGCTCTGCATTTTCTGTAACTTATGCCAAACTTTTTTTTATAGTAGAAATTAAATCAGGAGGTTCATAAGTTGTAGTATTCCAATGGGTTCAATGTAGAACCATGCACATATGTATTATTGATTAACTTCTACTCTCAGATACAAGCATTCATTCCTTAACAACTATTATGAGAAATAAATGAAGGAAATGCAATAGCAGTGGTTGTGGTTATACAATTAAATATACAAATATAAAGCAAAGAGAAAGTTAATCCTGGTCAATCAATACAGATTGTTCTTTTTATTGTGTCTCTTTGTGGTGAACAAGCAGAGCATTAGCTATATGCTTTGAGATGTTCACATTCATTTTTTGACTGCTGTCATAATACTTGGAAAAATGGGACGTGTCTGAGTAAATATTAGAATTGAGGTGGAAATATATTTTTATTTTCCTATATCACACTTCCTCACAGGTTTATGAAAGATGGAATACGCCACAGTTCATTTAATCTATATAGTAGATTAAAGAAAATAATACAATAACTGCAATTGTTTCATTTGGGATTTGTGTGTCTTCTGTTGTTGATGTTTTAACAGTATCACTTGGGGTGGGCTATTGGGCTTAGATGCTGCTTTCACAAATGGAATGTGTGATCCTGCAGTGTTTTGTCTCTGAAATCCAGGCCAAGCCTCTAAAAATAGAACTATAGACTTTCAGTAGAGGAAGTGAGATGGAGCTGAACTACATGTCATGCCATCTTGTTTCAATTTGTGCCCTGTGGTGTGCAGAGCAGAAAAATGGAAAACATGTCACACACCCAAGGACTCTGAGCTGTTTTTAAAAATCTGTTATGAGGAAAGATGAATTCTGGAACCTGGGTATATTATGCAGATTGGTCAAATTTCCACAGATTTGTTTATTCTGTATAAAATTCTACTTCTGGTAGGCAAGGGGAGGAAATGATGTTACAGAAAGCACAGAAGTCCTCACTCACCTCCTTGACTGCTGATAGTACTTCTCCTTCTCCCTCCCTCTTTCTTCAAAGATTTCATGAGCCACAGTTCCTCACATTTCAGTTATCTTTGTTTATGGAAACAAAATGGAAGCTTGTACAGCTTGAGGATGTTCAATTCAGTGCTTGATGCAAAAATCCATGTTTCAGGAAGTGTTGAATCCAGTCCACCAGACATCATTCTTGTCACTATGCCTCAAACTGAACTTCCCAGGTCCCTTTATGTGGATGAATTAACAGTGGTGGCTGGTGACCATTGGGAACGGTAGGACGGAAGGGGATGCCAGTGACAAGCAGAGCCACCCTTCGACTGATAGTAGGTAAAAAGGAGGCAGGTGAGGCAGACAGGTTGTTGGCGCAGTGCCCCACTCCCCTTAGTGGACCAGCCTCCGATGTGAATTAAGTAACTCTGAATGGGGAGCAGGTCCATTAGCTCAGGGACAGAACACATGCTTTTTGTATCCATGAAGTGAAGTCCCAGTTTGAGTCCTTAGAATTTCTAGTCAAGAGCAGTCTCCTGCAGTCAGAATAAACTGTGCTGGTCTAGATGGATGAATGGTATAACTCAGAATAATGTCAATTAGAATATTGTCGGGGGGGGGGGGAGATCAGGGAAGTGTGTTTCTTGACAGTCAGACACCTCTAGACTGCTTTCTTCTATATGTTAAACTTTTCAGTAATATTTCCTCATGTAAGCCTTCACTATTCCTTTGAATTAGATTTTCCAGGATCAGGCTCAAAGGCAACCAATGACTTTGGACTTGGTGGTTCTTTTGCTAACCTTTCTGAGAAATTCATCTCTCTTTCAGCAGAATGGGAGATTTCCAGGGTGTGCCAAATAACAATCTTATTTGCAGGGGGAAGCTTCTTTGATCCTAGTCAAATATTACAAATGTTTTGACTGGTAAATTCTAACTCAGGGAATTCCACTCCACAAGTAGCAAACTGTGGGATAATTTCTCTCTCTCTGGTATCTCTTTCCCCTTCCCCTCCCTTGTGTGTCCTCCAGACCAATCACCTGTTTCTTTCTTTTCCATGCTGTTTGTTTCTCTTGAGTTTGCACCATCACCAATCTTACACATGATGCTCTCATGCTCTCAGGCAGTGTGTCCTACTGCCTTTCTCTCTCTCGCTGTCCATCCATTATTCTCTCTCTAGTCATTTATGACTGTCTCCTCCCTTTCGTCCTCCCCTTCCTGGGAGAGACTTCATCCTCACAATTCTGTGAAAGATATTACTTCCTGAAACACTGGGTATTCCCCAAGGGAAAGAAAAAAAAATCTATATGTGGCAGGCCAAAACGTAGAAGCACATCCACCTCCTTCATCACTGTATACATAAATCCAGATGCTCCCAGATCAAATTAGTGCGCAGGTCATATTATTAATTTTCTGTTTCTGACAAAACCTTTATGAAAAAGCTCATGCCACATCGAAGTGGGGTACCTTTTCATGTCT